GCGTTTCCACCACACTGAAAAGCGATGTGAAATTCAAAAATAATACAACGAATCAAAATAAAACTTTGGATTTTTACTTCAACTTATTCATCGTCACGTGAATTGCACTTAATCACAAATTCTTTGATTTCTATAGTATATACTCTGTTAAAAATGGAACAGTGCGCCCCAGTTGTGCGCATGGGCGTGGCTTTGTTCCAAGGCAGCGCCCGACGCCGTAGTGGTTACAGCGTCTGACCCTATCAGACGACAACTGGTCGCCGCCGAGTCACCATCTCATTTTAAACAGAGTAGAGTAATATGCAAATGTCCGTCGTATAATAACCTATTAATTTAGTTACGTAAAATCATGATAAAGTACATTTTAATTTTGGCACTACGCATACATTTCTGCCGTTTGTTTCCACGTCCACAGGTTGTGCCGAACAGTCGCCTGACTCCACGTCCTCTGTCTAAGTTCTGCAGAAATTATTTTACAAATCTAAGTAACCTAAACATCGTTTTAAAAACTGTTTTCAATCCCTTTCCTAGTAATAAATAGTTAGATCAAACATTTTTGAAAATTTTTTTTGGAAAAATTGTTACTCGACGGTGCCGTAAACTAACTAGCTTAGTTCTGAAGTTTGCTTGAATATCCTTCCACCAAAAATTTCCTAAAAGTACAATTTCTACTAAAAATGCCATCAAAAAGTATGTTGTCAACACCCAAGTTCGAAAAAAGTAACATTTTCCAAATTTTTTTCCTATCAACTTATAATACGCCATTTAAATAAATAGTAGATATAGCGAAGTTTGAAGTGCCAAAATAAGCTCCTTTCTTTTACAAATCTTAGTAACATAAACATCGTTTTAAAAACTTTTTTAAATTCCTTAATATTTGTCTATTATATATATTTTTTACCTTAAAAAAGTGGTTTTTCAATTAGAAATATTTTATATGTTGTAACTAATTTATAAAAATAAAGATTTGTCTTTAAAAAAAAAAATATTATATTTTGATATCGCTCATATATTAACTAAAATATGTGACTTGTTGATTGAACATTGGTAATTTGTGTTTCCCATTAAATTGTTTAGGTGGGAGTGTCCTCAGAATTTTCCTCGGAAATCCTGTTAACCCGGGAAACAATTCAATGGTATCGGTACAAGTAAACAGGTATACCTGGGAATCAACTCGTACGCAGCCCAATATTTTGTTACTTCACACAGTCTCTCTTCAATTTCCTATTTTTTCTTCGAAGAATCCAGTCTTAAAAATATAAATATTTAGTGAACCGGACGACCTGTTGAGTATCTAATTATTTATCTAAAAGAGATGTGCCGGTTCACCTCACTAAATAGAGGGGCCGTGGTGCAAGTACTGTTCACCAATATTGGGCCATAATATAAAAAATACAAAACGACAAAGGTGGGCATTAACTTGTTAAAAAGTTAGAGTTAACTTAACTAGTTAATTATTTTTGTTTTTTAATTATCAACTTATTCAGTTAAAATTGTTATTGTTGTAACTTAACTTGTTACAATTAATTATCATTGTCGTGCAGTTAAGTTAATTTTCTTTTCGTGTCATTTTGTAATCAACTAGACAATATTGATTCGTTGACACTTTTTTGATTTTAGTAGTTCATTTTCGAATTATGTTTTATAATAATCCAATTTTTTTACACAGTGTTAAAAGTCTTGGTAAATGTTTGTGTATAATAAAATAGTAGGGCAGTGTATAACTTAAAAGTATTGTAACTTGAAAAAAGTTTTTTTTAACTGAGTTAAGTTAATTTTATTTTCTATTTTAATTTTAAACTTATCTATGTGAGTTTTTTTTTTGTTTACTTTTAACTTAACTGAAGACAATTTAATTGAATCAACTTTACTTGCCACAGTTAATTATTTTCATTAACTTGCCCACCTTTTGCAAAACGAATATGTCATGTAACAATACATCATATTATTTAATAGAAAAATATTACGAAATGTACTATATTTAATATTTATATATTATGATTGTGTTAGTCATCATAAACTCTTGAATTGGGAGTAACATGAATACATGATTGAGGATTTAATCAATTTCCTGAAAGAGAAATCGACTCACTAGGTTGGGAGGCAATGGTGCAAGTGGCGTCCATCAATATAATAAATTTAAAAAAAAAAAGATTAGTTAAAACATAGTATATCATATGAAGGCACCGGTGCAATAACCAGGTATGTCCAAATTTTTAAAAAAACGGTTTTTTATACAGAAATGTTAAAAAAAAAATTCTCTATCGATCGGTGGAATAACCAGATACGTTCGATCGACATGATAGAAAATAAATTATAAAAACTAAAATGTTCGTTATGGTTTGGTGCAATAACAAAATACGTCCAGACGTAACTCGTTATTGCACCAAACGAATAAATAGAAGTTTTATTATTTTATTAGGTGCAATAACAAGGTTGTATAAGTTTAATAAATAATAATATATTTATATATTATTATGTTAATATGTAAGTTGTAATTTAAGTTTAGTTTAAAATATTAATTTGCATAAATAATTAAAAGTAAATAAATATATTTTTGCCCCCCTCCCCTAACATTTTACCTAAATTTACCTAATTTTACCCCCTTAAATTTGGTGCAATAACCAGTTATGATTTGGACGTAACTTGTTATTGGACCGACTTATAATTAACATATTGGCTGGTTTTGTAAAACATTGTAATATTGGCATGAATATTGAAGCAATTCAAATCTTATCCATCATATTCAATTTATTGAATTCCAAATAATATTATAACACTTCAACCTTTTCTAATAAATTTCAATAGCAAAAAATTTGAGGTTTTTTTTGTCTCCTGGAAAAAACCCGGACGTACCTGGTTATTGCACCGGTGCTTTCATGTTCTTTTATATAAAAGTATGATTGCGTTAGTCACAATCTTGAGTAGATAAAATCGGCTTCTATTTTCCCAATCTTAATAATACAAGATACTGAAAATTAATAAAATCACAAATATTGTTACAAAAGAGAAATTGTGACTTGATATATAATTTTACCTTAAATTTACTTTTTGTATAGAGAATCTGAAGGTGGGTTATGCATTAAGTATATTTCAGCGATTCTGAAACCGAGTTTCACTAATAATTTTTTTACGAGTGCCAAAACATACACTTGAAGCCAGCCCTTAACAGTAAAAAAATTCAAATAAACAATATCTAAGAAGTTTAGGAAAACAATTATTTGCAAATATGCACATTATAACTATCTACCTAAAACGTGTTTATTTCAAATTTAAAATACCGCTGTTTGGGTAGGTATCTCAAATTTCAAAATTAATTTAAACTCCAATGATAGCAATATAAGCTATAATAATTATTTTTACCACTTCACCATTTTTTTGACCTAACGAAAAATATTTTATTGACATTTATGGAAAAAAAAGCTAAAACAAATTTAAAGTTGAAAATGTGTCAAAATATTTTGAAAATTGAACGATCTATGTAAAATGGTAGTATAAACATTCGGTTAAAATTGCATGTATACATGATAATTTTGATATTTAAGGATTTTATAATACCTTATTAGGTATAGGTACCTGCTGTAGAATTATTACTATAATACTATGTGTATTTTATAACACAAGGTAATTATTATAATATATCAATATTATATCGATATTCCATATTGTATTTTGATATGGATTCTAAGTTCAGAAGTTCACTCTAGTCCAAGACACACACAGTTATAGATTGAAGTCGTGTACTCAAAGTCCAACTCGTGTCTAAACAATCATGTTTTTTTACTTTCCATTCTTCTTATATGTAAACACAGAGCATTTACACAATATTTTTTTCCGTTTTATCAGTTCACAGAAAATGACATGCGTTATTCATATAATTATGCATCAATGAGATTAGAATATAAATAGTATTCCTAAATCTTATTGTCCTTGGCCAATGCGATAGGTAGTTTTTATATCGATTATTTTAAAATTATAACAATAATATTATTAATTAGATTATCATGATGTTACGAGTATATTAAATATTGAAAACAAGTTGCGTTAAAAATAAATCATCATTCATCACTGTACAATTTTTGTTGTGTTTTTATATATTATTTTGCATATTTGCATCGTTTATTTGGAAATAGGAATTATGATTTATGTGTACCTATTGCACTTTTAACGATGACGACAGGCATGATTTTATGTAAAATAAATCGAACAAAAATGCTCACAATACGTTTATCATACATAATACATTGTTGAACAATATTTATCATTATCATATTATTATTTATTAAAATTTTTATTTGTATAACGAATAAGTATTTGCTATTAACATAATATTTATAATTTATATAGATATATATTATTAAATATGCATTTCATGTAGAATGAGCAGTACGTACGTATCATATTGTTAAGTCATTCATTATTCGTTTCACAAAAAATAAATATAACTTGTATATGTTATGTATAATACCTATATATAATAGTATTATTATAAGTTTATGATAAAAATACTCCAGAACACAAAAATAATGAAGCTCAATCACTGGAAAGTGTCAAGGATGACTGTGATAGGCGACATTTTTTAAAGCTAATTAGTAATCAATAATTATACATACATTTATAATAATATGTCGTACTAATACTCATCCATTTATATATTATGATATTCTTATTATTAATCGTAATGTTTATTTATATAATATCGATACCAATAAATATATATATATATATATATATATATACGAAAAGAAACGTTTGGATTTGGTTTTTATTTTTACAAAATATCACATGTGAGCTAAAATTTCCAAAAACGTTTAAAAAGATCAAGCATCAGTCGCTTACAAAAATGATGTGACCTACTCGTACGACGTGACGATGATAATAAATTATATTATTTAAAATATCGTCGAAAAAAATTATTTTATGTAAAAAAATACTTAACGATGATTGTTTTTATTTTAAAATTTAAAATTCTGTAATTAACCATCGGAAAAAGGAAGAAATCAATTCGAGCCGTCCGGGTATAGACCCAACTCGATGCCGAGCCGTTTGGGCTGCCTGACTTTCGAAGGGAAAGGAGCAAATGGTTTCGGTGCCGGCGTAGCGGAATCCTCGATGTTGTCTTGGTTTCCTTTCGATTGCTGGGGCGGAAGTACTCGATCATCGGGTTCAGCCTCAGATAATGACTCGTCCGCAAAAAAGTCTCGGAAGTCACTGGCGGCGGAAGTCTCGGCTGCAGATTGCGATTCGCCCGTTAACAAATCTCGGAAGTCGTCGGTGGAACCCTCGACAGCGGTTATAGAGTCGTTCGCAAACAAGTCTCGGTAGTCGCCGTCTGCGGTCGAAGTCTCTAAGGTGGTCAACGATTCTCCAAGCATGCCGATGTCGTTGATCAAGTCCGGCAACCGCTCTTCCAAGTCCATTTCTGGATCGTCCGCCGGAGCTTTCCCTCTGCACATCCGCTTTAACAGTTCCGAATTGGCTCTCAACATTTCGGCTAGACTCACGTCACTGTCGTCGTCGTTGCCGGATTTGACGTCTGGCAGACGACATTCTACAACGACGTCGACGACCAGATCAGCGTTTCCGTCTCCGTCTCCGTCGTGGCCGTTGCACCCATCGTCGTCCACCGACCTTTCGCTGCAGCAATCGGACGCGGGATCGTCGCAGAGTTCGGTGGACGTAGACGAAGACGATGACGACGATACGGTTCGTTTCTCTCGGACTCGGGGGTCTGAAACGCCAAAAATACACTGTTATGTGAGTTACAAAATTAACTAACTTAAGGGGGCTGCAGTCAATGAACAAAAAAGTGGCGGACAAAATTGAAGGAATTTGGTTTGATAGATTTTAATTTTGAAAACGGATTATGATTGATTAACAAGTTTACTAGGCTTGAATAGAGACGATTTTGATATTCCAAATATATTGTTAGCATCATGACGAATAATATAATTAAAAAGTATAATATTTTTATTCATAGATACCTATCACAACTGAAAAAATAGATATTCATAATCACTATTATAATAATTAATAACCTATAGTGAATTTGTTAATCAATTAAAATTAGATTTAAAAATTTTAATGTGTCAAACCAAATTTCTTCAGTATTGTCTGGCTAAAATATGGAGTGACCGATCTCAAGTAGATATTATAACGAATTCAGATCAGTTTTCTGAAATATTATCGCATTATTAGGTCGATCGTTAGGATGGAAAATAAGTACATAAATTGTTTACCGTTCACTCTCCCAACGTCTAGACGGTGACTTGTACATGCGCGTGCAGAAGCGTTCCACAATTTCTTTTACACACATTCATACACTCTAATGGTAACTTACTACGCACAAATTTACAACACCTGCATGCATGCGAATTGAAAATTGCCTATTTCGAACTCCTTAAAAACTGTTCACTACCGATCCCCTTAACAACGGTATAATAATTATACCATGCATAATAATATTATTATTTCACATGGACTTTAACAACAAACTGTACCGCGGTCAGTCTAATCTACATATTTGTTTAAGGTGCCTTTACACTCAATCATCGTGTCGTCTAAAATTTGTTGTGTTGTTTTATTTGATTTATCTTGGTAGACAAATTTAAAACCTAGCTAGTTAATGGTTAGCCAGTGTAACCTTTTATATTTTGAATATTTTATCCACAGTATGTTTGATAACAATTTTACCGCTATAGTAACAGTACCACGATAAATTAAATATTTTTTAACTTTACGGTAATATTGATAACGTTGTAAAGATTTAAAAAAATAACCACAGCTTTCAGTCAATTAATACACTACGATATTAATACGACGTGTTAAGTTAATGGCCCCCTACCATAGAGAGAGAGAGAGAGAGAGAGAGAGAGAGAGAGTAAAGGCAAGTTTAGATGATTACCGGTCAATTTCGTGTTATGTGCGGTGACCGGAAGTTGTATATGTAAGCAATATACTGTATAATATTGTATAATAATATGTAATAATGAAATATTATAATGTATAGGTACCTGTTTTGGGTTCCGGTTTCTTGACGTCTTGTATGTATTTTAACGGTATGGATCCGGGTATGGGGCCGATCGATGTGCATCTCAGAGCCGTTTTGCCGAACAGTAAATGATTCATCGCCGAAGAGTTAGAGGTACCGATAAAGTTTTGTCCATTACATGCAGCTGTAAGAATAGAGTTTCGTTATGTGCAGTCATTAATTTTTATTCGATTGTGCATCCAGATTTATAGGGTTTTTTTTACTGTTGCAGTCACGTAGCATTTGTCTGATATTTTCAGGCAATGACTTCGCGTCCAAAAAAAAAGATGTTAAGCGTACCTATGTAATACGTATTATGTATTTTACCTGTCAAAATGACTTGGACCTGTTTCTGTCTTTCTTTGAGTTTGCTGTATTGTTTCTTCAACGAAGATATGTCTAACGCAACCTTTTCTCTTTCGGATTCCAAACTGGGAGTCGGCTGCCTATTGCTTCTACCAGATTTGTTGTCTATAAGAATCAAAACCACGTGTTAATTGAAATATTGTACTCACGAATTTGCGTCCTTGTCGAGAGGGTGCTACTAGGGTAGGTATATCGTTATCTTACGTTTCGTCCTGAAGCCATCCTTTCGGTCATTGTTTGCAGTGACCACCGAAGAAGATTTACCATCGATGTCATCATCGCTGTCCGTCTCCTCGATGTCAGACTCTGTGTAGAACAATCGCAGTCCTCGTTTGGCCACGTGACTCACCCACGGATTTATATTGTACATGTATCTTTCTCGGAGTTCTTTGACTTCGACTAGTTCGTTCATTGTACTGATTGTCTACGGAAGATACGAACACGTTTATACATAACACCGTACAATGATAAATCCCACGTGTGTGAAAAGTATTTATAGCAGTAGACATTATTAATATAATAACTACTACGGTCTGGGACACGTAAATTCGTCGACGAAAATACTCACGTTGATTAAATTGTTGGCGTCCATTAAACCGAACTCAAGCATTTCTCTGGTGAGGACAGCCATAATACTATAAAATTCATCTGCACTTGTCACCGTCATTATCCGGCTAAATGGAACAGTTTTATTTAACGTCGGTGAAAACAAAAAAAAAAAACTTTTTTACAAATATATTCAGACATTTCAAACTCTCGTTTTTCCGTCTACATTGTGATCGTATTATTATGCAATACCTAGAAGAGACCTGCGCAATTATAACATATTATGCACACATAAAACAAAATGTCTAACCGAGTTTAAATGGATCTGTATTAAGACGTAATGCACTGTAAGTATTAACGTTGAAATCGTAAAATAACCATACAGTTCAAGAAAACGCACGTTTGGTAAACTCGTGACATGAGTTGAAATTAGTTTAATTAGTTTTTGTTCAATTCTCTTAAGTGTTTTCAACTTTTAATCCTCGCAAAAAAATTAACCCAAAACTAACTAGTCTGTTTTAAATTTTCTGCATTTATGTAGGTTAAATGTACTTTACGCTAAAGATCTTTCCGATGTATATATTATGGTGTGCGTTTATTATTATTTATTATGTAAATGAGAATAATAATTTTTAATTTTGACCGTCGTGAAAAATACCACAAAAATAAAGTTATTATAATAACTTATGCTAATGTGGTGACAACGTTTAAAATTATATTTTTTGTTTGTTTTGATAAGCATTTAACTATGAAACATAATTAAAAATATTTCCTTGTGAATAATTACGATGTGAGAGGATTCAAATAATTTGTTCCATAATATAAATGAGAAAATCTTTGAATATACATCATCAATTCCCGGTTGTAATAAAATAACGAGTTTCTTTTTAAATGCATTGACTTGTGCTTTGTTATTATTGGAGAAATATGCAAAAATAAATAAATAAATAAATTGATAATTGACTTCACACTGTCGGCACAGTATAAACTATAAACTATAATAACCTATTATAGAAGGTTGTTGTACTCGAGCCAAGGATGCTCGTCGTATAATAATATAACATGTACAATATGTATTTTATATCAAAAGACTGTAAACGCGTTAAATTGTAATTATCTGCCAAAAACTTTACAACTATGTATATAGTGCCGCCAGAGTGTTGGCCCGAATATAGTATTATATACTTACTCGGACAAAGCTTCCCAGATAGCTAAGGCGGTTTTCAAAAGAACCGTGCTTCCTTCAAGGAATATTAAATCCCAGACCCGAAGCACTGTGCGCTGAGGAAGACAATTGCAAAACAGCGTGAGAAACCACTGCATTGTGAATACGTTCGTGAGGGGTGGCTCGTAGCTGGTTCCTATTCAATAGTAGTTATATTATATTATATTACATTATATTATGGTTTATAGTTTATTAGTGTAAATATGAAAATATAGGCTGGCAAAAACGATCGGCTTACCGGAGTCTTTCGATTCAGTTTGTAACCTGTCTAAATGTCTCGATAGGTTTTGCAGTCTGACTCTTAGCAAGTCTCTGAACACGGCCATGTCCACAGACAGCCCGCGGAGATTGTTGGCAAAGTAACCTTCGGGAAGCACACCTTCGATCAAGTATATCATCACCTAAACGCAAAACAGATAAACCAACAGAGCAGTTAGAGGACGCATTAATGCATTATCGGCACTCGAAACAGTCGGTCAAAAAACACGACGACGAGTAGATATTATTTCGTCGAGACGAAGGGCTTCGAGTGGCCAAGATTTCGTGTCGACACAGTGAAGCGAGGCAAACCAACCTTTAGGGCGTCGGATTCGTTTTTTTCCATCACTTGCAATATGAGAGCCGCCAACATGTTGAACCCCTGACAGTAGCCGACTGCCTTGTTCCACCGAGCGAACCCCAACAGCACCCTTTTCAGCAGCGCTTGGTTTTCCAGCCCGGACGAACCGCAGAACAGGCTGCAACCGGTCCGGTGCAGGTCCTTGACGATCTGCACGCCCAACTCCTCGTCGTCCGGGTTGGTCGTGTCGTTGAAGCAAAATCGTTCCACCTTGGGCCACTCCACGTTCCTGGACGACAAGTATTTTTCCGCCAGAGTCAACCATAACTGTGCAACGCAAAACGGACCGCGGGTCCGCGTGCGATAATATTATAGACAGGCACGAACCAATATTATTTTATATTTATTTCGTATTACACCGTAGGCGACAAGCGATAATAAATCTTTTTATCGGGACCGGTGGGCGTGTGGGAGTCACGTGGGTGGGGTGGTTGCAGGTGGTGGTTGCAGGTGGTGGTTGCAGGTGGTGAACGGGCGGTCACGATAGGTGTAGACAATAATAATTTATAAATATAGATACGTACCGTGTTCCGGAACTCGTGCGGCACGCCGTCCGGAAGTCTAGCGACCATTTTCATAGCGCTCTGCCACTGTTCAAAGTCTGTGTCACCGGGCCCGGGTTTCATGTTGAATCTCATTTTGGTGTCTTCGCCTATAGACGCAGTTTTCCGACCATATTAATCAACTCATTGAGTAGGTCGTTACAATATAATATATATATATATAAATATACAGTAATGCAGTAGGTATACTATGGCGTAAACTCAATGGCGTCGAAGTAATAATATTTTATTCGCAATGTGCAATTGACATACATTTTAAGCGGGTGTTTAGTGGGTAGATACGTACTTAAGTCGTCTGAAAACAAACTTATCTGGTTTTTCAAAAAACAAACGAAGAGCGTAATATTCTTTGATGATATTTATACGTTTGGTATTTTATTTTTGACCTAAATACATTGTTATACTTCCATGCCGCCGAGTTTGGTTATTGTTATAATTTAGGCTCGGCATTTTCTGCGTTGAAAGAAAAGTAAATACGCTACAAAAATTGTTTAAATAATATGTTAATTTACTATTGTTGGCCTATTTCGGTCGTTATTCGTTAATGGTCGAAAACTATAACGCAATAAAATTACCCGAAAATACTGATAAATCACATAGAGAGTTAAATCTTCATTAAATCAAAGATAAATATCCAATTTGTTTTGCCCTGCACGGACACGAAATTCGATATCAAGAATTAGGTTATCACTGTGATCATTGTTTGTCATATATTTTGGACCATTGAATAAAAATTTAAGAACCCTGCAAGAAGTCCCGAGCCCTATTATAGGAATTGTGATTAGTATTTTGTTAAATTATATATACTTACTGTCTATATTGTCGATGTATATATTATATTATTATACAAAGGACATAGGCGATAGCTGATAGATAATAGGTCTAGTAATAAAAGTAGGTACATATTGTATGAAAAACGATGTCGGCCCATTAATTAATTTGCTTATGCAGGAAATATGCACTGCTCCTTAAGGCCTGATATAAAATACAACGTTTGAGCTTACGTATAATATGTTAAGATTATAATTTACAGCTGAGGAAAAAATCGTTAGTTCAAATAACATTAGTCATTCAAGTAAATATTTTTCAGGTTTGTGTCGTATTCGAATTTAATTATTTTGGTTTATCAATTTTAATCAAAAATAATATATTTTTAACTATTTTTAGGATTTGTAAAATTATTTGTACATAAAAAGGTTTTGAAATATCATTGAGTGTTCTATAATTAACATGGACATAAAATATAAAATAAAAATAAATATATAATAATTAAATGAACAGTTTCAGTTATAAGTACTTATTGAAGCATAAAAAGCTTTTTAGATAAAACCATCCAAGGGTGTTGAAATCTATGGTGCTTGGTGAGTGGAGCGTGGAGGGAGCAAAGCTATTATTATAATATAATATATTTTTTTGTGTATAAAATGCATTTTTAAATGCTAAGTATATTTTATTTGGTACTAAAAAAAATGTTATGAACGAAGACGCGAGCTTCTTTGATGTTATTTCTAAGAAGTATATTTATTTTTACCACTACAATTTAAGACTTCTATAACTCTCGATTCAAATTGATATTGATAGAAAATCTGTGCCCCGATGGATGAACGCTTGTTATTAAATGAAGTTAATACAAATGTCAGTTATTTTAACGTAATAAATCATTCAATATCACTCTGTCTTTTATTCTCCGTTTATGAAGTATAGGGGTTGAAAATCATTGTGAGTTTTGTTAAGTTTTACGTACCTATCTAAAATATTCCAAAACGAAAAAAAGCTATTTAAATATGAGTGTCAATAGTTAAAAACTGATTCACATTAAAATACAATATTAAATCATGATATCTCGTTAGTTTTGGATAACTTAAATTAATTTGATTTTCTTCTCGAGTTTTCGAATTGTCAAGGGTATTCTGTAGGTGTGTTTAAAGTTGATTATAAAAATAACCATTTATAAGTCGAAGAAAAAGTAATTCTAAGGGACAAAAAACAATAAACTAATTCCGAAGAAACTAGAGACACATCATCTATACGACTATAGGTTTTTTGCAAGAAGAAAATTAAAGAGCTTATTTCTTACGGTATTATACTACTTTTAAACTTTTCATACAAACTACTATACTTCATTATACCGATTCGATTAGAAATAAACCAGGAAACTACTGATGATTGGATGAATTACGATGTGTTTTGTTTTTTCAAGAAAACCTATTCATAGTTTCTTCTATAAGACAGATTTCCGATGCAGAAAATAAATTAGTTTTTTTATAATTTCTACAGTATAATCGATTTGTTGTAAGAATAGGTGTCTCTTTTAACATATTATCGTGTGCTTATGATTGATATAAGTATTTAAATATTTCAAATTTTTATATGCATTTTAAACAATTATTAGTTTTGATTTCAGAGAGACGATTAAAATGTCACAAAATTTATAGGCACACCTAATTATAATATACAACAAATGAATTGTACTATTTTTATGTAGGTAGAGGTACCTGTATATTATTTGTATTTTTTTTTTGAAATTTATGTTGTTTTTAGTGAAAACTATGTTATAAAATATCGTTTAAAGTTTAAAAAAAAAACCCCAACAAATGTTGAAAATAGGCATCCTCTCTTATGCATGTTACTTAAGCACAGTTTGTGGATGCATAATGAAGAGAGCGAAACTTCATTAAAATTGCACACACTGCCAACAGTAATTAAATTACAACGAAAAATAATAGGTACGAGTATGATGTATGATGTTCCCGAGTAAGTCGTAGAATCACAGAGAACATATTATTAATTTTGAATATTGTGATAATTATTACACGATGGTGGATGGATAAATTTACTAATTTGCAGAATTTCACTCGTAAACTATTAAAATATATAATGTGCGTTAGATTATAATATTATACGTTGTATACATCTTAGTGTAAAAGATTAAATCCTCGACTATAGTAATAATACCTACAACCATAGGCGCACATAGGGTGTGAATTTAGGGGGTGCTGGGATAATTTATGGTTCACAGATCCGTGGGGGGCTTTGCCCCCCACACCCCCCTAATCCTAATATTTCTGCATTGCATTAGATTTAATTTGTATAGTGTATACAATAATTTCTAAAGTGCAATGTATCAAATAGTCTGTATGATTGTAAAGAAGACGCTAGGTACACCCACATGTGTTGTCTCCGTATTACAGACGTAGGTACAACATAGGCAAAACTGTTTTGCACGGGTATAAAAAACATTCAGTCTCTACTCTAAGCTAAGAAACTAAATGTTCACACTATAAAAAATGAGAAAATTTCCTCTGTAACTTTGTTTTTATATTTCCGATATCAAAATGAAAATAAAAGTTATTTAAGTTTGATAAACAAAAAAATATGCTCTGCTGTACAGTAGGGTACAAGTAGGTCACTGTATAATCGATGGTATTAAATTTGAATTCAATGATATACTAACATAGTAACATAATTGTAAAAGAAAAACGATTCTGAGCGAAGACGGTTAGTCAGCCTATGATATTACAAAGTATATTTGATGATACTAAGGTGAATAAAGCAATTTATATATAACCTATTTACGTAGAATCTTGTTTTAAATTTTCAATCATTAGCTATAAAAGTTGAACATTTTATAAATTTTTAACTATAAAATTATTATTAAATTTTAAATGTGATAAATTTTGTCAAAATTTGAATTTTAAATAATTATAAAAAAAAATTGTGCCTATGTATTTTTAATATTTTTCAAGTGTTATTGTAACAATATATCAGGAGCTTTGCATTAAATTTTCAAGCTTTTTTACCATACAAATACAATTTTATTGATATGAATAGAAAAAAAAATTAAAAAAATTGAAAACTGAAAATGTCCGTAAATAGCTCAAAAAGAATCAAAATATTTTGAAAACTATATGGTGTATAGGAAATGCTAATATAAAAATTTAGTAAAATTTTCAAGTATCTACTTGGTATCTACAGTCATTCGTTTTTTAATTACAACAAAATTATAAAATCGTTACATGAGAAATCGAGTGAATATCAAATGTTGTAAAAATATGAATTTCAAACGTTCATAAAAATTTAATTTGAGATTCTTGTAGACATTTTTTTTTTGATAAAGGTAGACAAACTTATGAGCAATCTTGCATTACATTTTCATATCTTAGATTTAAAAAGAAAAATTTTTAAGAATTTCTAACTCGAAATAATTTGCAAATTTTCGTCATTTTCACGTATTTTGTCAATATTTGGAATTTAAATGCTTATAACAAAAAACTGTGACTAAGGATTTTTAATATTTTTCATCTGTCTTTGAAACAATATATTAGGAGCCTTCTATTAAATGTTTAAGCTTTTATACCCAACAAATAAAATTTTATTGATACTTATAGAAAAAAAAATTAAAAAAAATGGAAACTAAAAATGTCCGTAAAAAGCTCAAAACAACTCAAAATATTTAGAAAATTTTATCATATATAGAAAATGGAAATATAAATAACCAGTGAAAATTTCATATATCTACGGTCATTTGTTTTAAAGTTACACCAAAAACCAAAATTAATTTTCTCGAAAACAGATTTTGCGTAAAAATTCCCGTTTTTCCTTAATTTTTCTTTTGTTTTTCACGGTGCTTTTGACCCCCAAAGTACCAACTAGATTCACTTTCCTATCAGAAAAGATACTGTTGAAGAAAATCCAAGCACTTTTACTGTCCTAAAAGATAATGACAGACAAAAAAAAAAAAAAAAAATGAATTCGTGAATTCGTAAACAGTTGTCAATATTTGTAATGAAAAGAAAAATTCCGAACCAATAAACCACGATAGCTTATAAATGATTGGTAAAATCCTGAAATAAACTGAGGGTGCTAGTTTGAAGCTTGGGGGTGCTAAGCACCCCCAAGCACCCCCCTATGTGCGCCTATGCCTACAACAGTATATAGGGTAACACAACACTGTAGGTTTTGGATTTATATTTATTTTAAATCTATTGACACGTCTCCCTTTGTGGACTCCGCGGTGAATTGTTTGATCATCGAAGTGTCATTTTTGTTTACGGTTTTATATCGAACAAACGAGTTTTTCTCGTTGACTTTCGATGATCGGGTTTGGAAATTATTCTCAAGAACATTTGACGTTGTGTAAACAGTTTGTTTTTCTCCCATTGGAAAGGGTTGTATTTTGACGTTTAGCCTTGATTTATGTGGCCTTTCTGTCAATTCTAAATTTTTTAAAACCCACTGCATCAATAAGAAAAGTAAAATAAAATATCAACTCATGCTTTTTATATTTAGGTACATTTTATGTCGGTTTGTACTGAACCGAGTGATTTTCTGGAACGAAATAAAGCGACCATTTTAAATGTTTCGCAAAAAAAAAGGTTTAAAAATAAAAAAAAACACACACACATTCGTTTAACATATTATTATTATTATATAGCTTAAAAGCTACTTCGAATGATAGATGTCCTGCCAAGTGAAGCGACATGCACACGATTCGGAATAAAAGAGTTGGGTCAGTCCGTGGACCGCAAGAAAGTACGTCATTCGCCATTATATTATAATATTATGATATAGTTTGAAATTTAATGTTACCATATTATATTATACGGTTCTTTTTTCAACAGATCGATTCCTGTGGATCTCCGGAGCCATAGAGGCAAATCGCAAGGGGAGCTAAGGTTTCTTATATGAATTCTATACATCTAGCACAACAAACGCCATCGCCGCGATTAGTATATTATTCATCATAGCTGGTGTTGGTCAAACAAATACAATAATTAGTTATTATTTATTTTAAGTTTGCTACTATTCAATTTGTACAATAGTCATTTCAAGTTGAATTAGCATTCGTATTGTCCCACAATATTTTTGATTCTTCAACGCCCTCAATACTTTTGGCTGACTCGGTGATTCGCACCTATAAGACGTATAGTCCGGAGCCACCGTTCGAAGTCCATGGCTATAAAAATATACTAAAGCACCTTTTTTAAATGCTTTTAAAGCTTAGTAGCCGGTTAAAATGTATCAGCAGTTTAAGACTATCCACAGCTGACCTGCGGGCGAAAAACCATCACTCGAATATTATAAAATCAACTGTCGAATTTGAATCGTGGAAAAAAACCACCCAGTAAAAAACGATGTTTTTCCGCCTACCGACGAATTATTTTATCGTGTTCGCATAATATTATAATAATCACTTAACGTGTAAGTTCACACTTTAACGCAACCGTCGTGCGACAATAAGTCGCAGAAGATTTTGGGAAACGCGTATTTCGACTTAAATCGAGTACCTAATTCATTACGATGATAGACGGCGTCCCGTAACAATTACAAAATGGACTGATTAATTTAAATCGTGGATAGAAAGCCCAGAAAAAAACTTTCCGCCTACCGACAAATTATTTTATCGCATAATATTATAATAATCACTTAATACTACGTGTAACGACGTGCAGTACACACTCTAACGCAACCGTTGTGCGACAATAAGTCGCTGGAGACTTTGGGAAACTCGTATTTCGACTTAAACCTAGTACCTAATTCATTACGATGATAGACGGCGTCCCGAAAAAATTATAAAATCGACTGATGAATTTAAATCGCGGATAAAAAGCCCAGAAAAAAACTTTCCGCCTACCGACGAGTTATTTTATCGTGTGCGCATAATATTATAATAATCACTTAATACTACGTGTAACGACGCGTAGTACACACACTAACTCAACCGTCGCAGAAGACTTTGGGAAACTCGTATTTCGACTTAAATCGAGTACCTAATTCATTACGATGACATACGGCGTCCCGTAAAAATTATAAAATCGACTGATGAATTTAAATCGTGGATAGAAAGCCCAAACAAAAACTTTCCGCCTACCGACGAATTATTTTATCGTGTTCGCATAATATAATAATCACTTAATACTACGTTTAGTACACACTCTAACGCAACCGTCGTGCGACAATAAGTCGCAGAAGACTTTGGGAAACTCGTATTTTGACTTAAACCGAGTACCTAATTTATTACGATGATATACGGCGTCCAGTAAAAATTACAAAATCGACTGATGAATTTAAATCGCGGATAAAAAGCCCAGAAAAAAAACCAACGAATTATTTTATCGTGTGCGTATAATATAGCAATCGCTTACATAATACTATATTACTAAGTGTTACGACGTGTAGTACACACACTAACGCAACCGTCGCGCGACAATAAGTCGCAGAAGACTTTGCGAAACTCGTATTTCGACTTAAACCGAGTACCTAATTCATTACGATGATATACGGCGTAGGTACCGTGAATAATGATTGTCGGGCCAGTGTTATTATATTATTATTATTATTATAACCGGCACGTCATTATCCCGAGCGACTCTGTCTTTCGACTGGAGTACCGCTCGCGCCTTGTATTATATTATTATTATTATACACGAGTAGTGAATTATATGGGCGTGTATATATGTATATATATATATAATATTGTATAAGTTGTTAGAGAAGCCACAATTTTTAACAACAAAATATAGTCGTTATCCATCACACTTTTACGAGCGGGTGCAGTATATACTATACATATACATATATACAATATCGCTGCAGCAGTAGTGCGTATATATTATATGAGAAAACTTTCTTTGGTAAATAAGTTGAAAATATAAATTATACAGAGTGTCTCGGCGGCGGCTCCGCGTGTGTGACCATCATAATTTTAACACAATTTTTGTTCTTTTTCCTCGATTCCCCGGAAGTTAAGCGATCGTCGATTTTTGCACGGCCAATTAATGTGAATATTTTAAAAGTAAATAACTACTGTGCCAGTTTCCATTAAGCGTTTGCACAAGTAGTGACGTCAGTTTCAAAGTTTGGTCAGAAGGTGTATAGAGGCGGAGTAGCGGAACAGTATATATTTATATAGCGGTCGGACGGTCATGTACGAGGTACAACACATCGAAACGCTCTGTATGTACATAAAATATATACGTATTAAATATTATTGTGTTTGTCTTATAACAAAAAAAAAATTGTTTTTTGTTTGTTTTTATAAATTGCTTATTTTCTAAAAAAAAAGTACACAGAAAATTATATTAAAATTGTGTATATCATCAACCGTAATAACTCTATATAGGTACGTATAGTCGTACGTTTATTATCCCTTGTATCCACACACCGTAATAACATTGTTATATATTGTTTATCGATCGTTGTACAAAACGTCCGGTTTGAATTGGGTATTTTATTATCTCAAAAACAATATTATTCATCATTTCATCATAGTCGTATCCCTTTGAAAGCGTTCCACGTATAACAGGGTGGGTCACGTCGGATTCAAGTCACGTCGGTTTACCTTCTGCGAATGATTTAGGTGGCATTTTTTCTCGTTTGCGCTATACTTCTCACCTCTTTATTTGAACGAAAAACAAAAATTATTGAAATGAAATTCTGCAATTTTTTTATGCCAAGTGAAAAAAAAAAACACCACCACACGCTGATGATAATGGGGTTCCTCGCCGATTGAATCGAACTGGTACCAATATTACCAATAGAGGTACTCGTCGAGCTCTCCGAACACTAAACATTTATTGCAAACGAGAAATATCGACCAAACCTAATTCGATTATATAAAGAACGTGCGGGAGTCGAAACGTAATATTACATTATTGCGATAACAAAATATACTGTTTTGCAGGTATCTGCAGTGACTATTGTCATAATATAAATAAATATGAAATAATATTATACGACGTGTTGTCATATTTTGTGTTATCATTGAAAGTGTTTGTTTACCGCCGCGGTGGTGCTAGATCGCGTGGGAGGGGGAGGGGGGGAGTGTCAACAGAATTGAAAACCGTACTTATCACCCTCAATGCATGAAGTTTACACTATTACTATAATATAATATATTATATTTTGTAAATATAATATGAAATTTTGTGTGCGCGGGAAAAAAAGATTTTTCGTAAAAGATTGTTATATAAAGTCGTAGACTACGTTGTTGTTACACAATATTACTATAAATCGCATTTATAATCGCTTACCCAACTATTTGTGTCCTAGGTGAACCTATACTTATAAAATTATTTTAACGGTGCGTCTACACATAAATCACTATAACACAGAACATCATATACGGATTACCTAATGTTTAGTGTTTGTCTGTACGCGGTAACTATACAGGTGCATTTGACTATTGTTCAAATAGTAAAATATCATTATAGTATAGGACGATCTTACTAAATAATATTATAATATTTAACCCAACCGCGAGCTTTGCTCAACGGTCGGGTTTCGCAACGGATTTTTCTTTCGGTGACAATATAATATCTCGAAGTGAAACATAAAGACATTGTTATTATTATTTTATAATCACGCGAGTAACAATAATATGATAATATTATATATTATATCGTATCGAATTATATTATCTGACGACGTTCTAACTGTGGATCTGTGCACGCATATATAAATAGGTGTATACAGAGGTGTTATTGTACTCACTGAGACTGGCAATGTTCTTCAACGTGTTGAGCAAACCATTCATCACATCGCCCGTGTTCCAAATGTGTTTTGATAAGGAATATCTCGTGGGTCTCGACTTGCCCGGACCGGATGACGGCGGCGACGGTTCGAACGCCGGACGGTCTGAATGAAGAATGCAATTTACTATACGTTACATTATACGGCACTGATATGGTACGCGTTTCCTCCTGTTGTGCGTTTAAACTCATGCGCGTTACGTTTTTATCGATCGCCCTCCCTCTGCTCCTCCTCACACCGGCGGCGGCGATCCACCCCCGCGAGCACACGTGCGGTCGGCGCACCGCTCCGTCGCACCCCTCCCCCGGTGAAGGGGTAGGACTTCATGCCACCCTCTCTTGGTGGTGCCGTCGGGGTAGGATTCTATGCCCCCTCCGCGTCCCGTAAATCGTATTATCTATACATGTTTAGGTTAAGTGCGTATATATATACATATTATACATATACTGCACACGGACATTATAGGCGCATACTATTATATAACACGATATCACATTTTTATTGTTACGACGATATCATTTCACCCGTCGTCGAGTCCAACACAAGAGTCGTACTGCACGCACAAATCACGCGAAGTAATCGGCCACGTCGATATATATAGTTATGGCTTGTTGACGGTTTCGCTCGTTACGATTTTAATAACGACTCGTCAATGTAAGGACGGCTAACGAGACGCACTGTCGAATGTGTGTATGAAGTAGATAGGTAGTATATTATTATTTTCGACCCCAGGTCGCGATGGCCCCGCGGCGTTATCAGTGCGGAGTTTGGAGGGAGCTTTATTGTGTTTCGGGGGGGGGGGGGGAATCGCCATCACGACGATGACGATTTATCGTAGTCTTTCCGGATGAAAGTTTTTAAAATCACTCCAAGCCGACGACGTTCCGCCTCGTTGATATAAAGGGAACAAGGACACGAGGCACCCAGCTAGATATCACATTTTTGTTATTACGACGATATCATTTCACCCGTCGTCGAGTCCAACACACGAGACGTACTGCAGCACGCACAAATCACGACGAGCGAAGTAATCGGCCACGTCGATATATATAGTTGGCTTGTTGACGGTTTCGCTCGTTACGATTTTAATAACGACCCGTCAATGTAAGGACGGCTAACGAGACGCACGGTCGAATGTGTGTATGAAGTAGATAGGTAGTATATTATTATTTTCGACCCCAGGTCGCGATGGCCCCGCGGCGTTATCAGTGCGGAGTTTGGAGGGAGCTTTATTGTGTTTTGGGGGGGAGGGAAATCGCCATCACGACGATGACGATTTATCGTAGTCTTTCCGGATGAAAGTTTTTAAAATCACTCCAAGCCGACGACGTTCCGCCTCGTTGATATAAAGGGAACAAGGACACGAGGCACCCAGCTAGATATCACATTTTTGTTATTACGACGATATCATTTCACCCGTCGTCGAGTCCAACACACGAGACGTACTGCAGCACGCACAAATCACGACGAGCGAAGTAATCGGCCACGTCGATATATATAGTTGGCTTGTTGACGGTTTCGCTCGTTACGATTTTAATAACGACCCGTCAATGTAAGGACGGCTAACGAGACGCACGGTCGAATGTGTGTATGAAGTAGATAGGTAGTATATTATTATTTTCGACCCCAGGTCGCGATGGCCCCGCGGCGTTATCAGTGCGGAGTTTGGAGGGAGCTTTATTGTGTTTTGGGGGGGAGGGAAATCGCCATCACGACGATGACGATTTATCGTAGTCTTTCCGGATGAAAGGTTTTAAAATCACTCCAAGCCGACGACGTTCCGCCTCGTTGATATAAAGGGAGCAAGGACACGAGGCCCCACCTAGTGGAGTCTTCGTGCCACATATATTAGTGTTATTATTGTACGTCATAAGATGTTATGTTACATCTTCGCATGCACGTTTTTGGGTTCGGACGGAGAATGGGCGATTTCGTTACAATTTAATATAAAGACCTTTGGGTAAACTACTTTTTATCTAAAAAAGTGTACTACGAATTTACGCGAACGGTATTATGAATTATGATCAGACTGTAATTACTTCGAGCGTAGGATGGGTTTGAGGTAAAACCGCCGCAAATATGTCCGTAATATCGGGTTCAAAATATTTAGGTACAATGTAAACCATTTAATTATTAAAATGATTTTAAATTATTATAAAACTAAGAAAACTGATTCACTTCATATAACATCTGATTCGACTTAACGGTACTTTGTGATGTGGAAGTGGTTCTATATGTACACGAGTAGGCGTAGCTACCACGTGGTAATTTTCATAATATAATATTCAAGAAAAAATAAAATACGAGTAGGTGTATTGAGAATTAATCGTTTTAAATGATATTTTTCAAAAATAGAGTAAGATTACATTCGGTGTCTCAGCGTGGGTGTAATTCGTAAATCGTAATCTTTATTTTCGTGCTACAGCTTACAGATAAGAACTTATTAATAATTATGATCCATTATTAGCCATTAGGATTTAAACTATTTTCGAATACGAAATAAAATTATTCAAATATTTATAGTGGGCGGTTGCTGGTTGGTATTTCAACTGACGTCTGACAGTATCAATATCCCCCGTACTTAGTGTTAAGTGTTTGATTTGGTTGCGAATATGGTCCCCCTTCCATAGACCATATATACCTAGTAAGTATCAAACTCTCGAGTCAATAGATACGTGACGTCGTGACACCCTAAATCTGACTTTAGTCGTTGGTATACGATCTTGACAATCGTAAGTTATTCGGGATCAAAAATCTTCGCATAATATTGAGGGAAGCGAAATTTTAAAATAATGGATTCAAAAGTAAACTCCAGTTAGACTACTAACTACTTCACCACAAGATATGAAGCCATATCAATGGACTTGTCAGGAAAAAGTAAGAGTTTAAATCAACTTTTTAGGTTAATCAAGTTAGGGTGTAGTTATATTAAACCATAGGTCGGTATATGATTACAAACCTAACACTACGTATGCATTTTTTTTCCATTAACAGTTTGTTATTCACAGATTTTTAAAAGAAACCAATTTTTTTCGTCGTAAAAAATAGAATTAAGATGCCTTATGTTTGGTTAGTACGGTAAAGTTATACCTACTTATTCTTAAAATCAACTTACTTTGAAGAACTTGGTAATTTTTGAAAGGAGCCCAATTGTTTATATTACAAAATAAAATATTTGTCGTATTATGTTAGAAAGGTTAAGTGCTCTTTAATTTTGAAAAAAAATTTCACAGGTTCCAATAATTAATAAAATTACCATTCCTTTACGTTTTAAAACAGCAAAACAAAAATATAAATCGATTTTTAATAAAAAAAATTAAGGAGTATTATAAATTATATATTTTATCCCCAAAAAAACACACTCCTCCATACACCGTGTAAAAAGGACGATAAGTAAAAAACTGTTTCTAAAACTTGTGATATTATTTTATAGGTAGCTAAATATTTGAACTAAAGATATCATTTATGTTAAAATAATCTGCTAAAAAATTGAATTTAGCTAGGTGAATTAAGTTAAAAATTTAAAAATACTATAGCCTAATGAGTACATAATAATAATAATATGGTAGTCTATTATTATTGAAATTCGAAGTGTATTAATAATAAGAGTTTTAAAGTCGCCAAGCTAAGTTCAATTTTTTAGCAGATTATTTTAATATAAATGATTTTTATAATTCAAAGACTTAGCTACCTATATATAACATCAAAACTTTTAGAGCAGTTTTTTTTAAACTTGGCGTTTTTTTTACACTAGGTTGGCGGAGTGTTTTTTTATGGGATACCACTAATTTTTTATTGATACCTTATTATTTTGGGAACATATTGGTTTTACAATGATGTTATTTTTAAATTATTTTATAAAATAAGTTTATACGTTTATAAATGGTTGCCATTGGTTGCAGATTATAATAGTAATAGTGGAAATTAATATTATTTTAATTTTTTTTTTTTTTATATTGGTTGCCATGGGTGTCGGATAATGCCGGCTGCGGGGAATATTATCTACTAAAATGTTGAAAATACGTGACAATAATCTCTAGTTAAATTAGCTATAACTCTGTTGACATTGTTCAAAATTATTTGAAAACAACGCCATACACTTATACGCACAATTTCCAATTAGATTATTGTAATTTAAAATTTCACTATTTAACTACATATTTGCCAGGCTTTCTCAAGAAATGTTTTTCGTGAATCGTGTTGCTTCTTGCGTAATTATTATTATAATCCGGCAGTGTATCGTGTGTATTTTAAGGCGGTCTTTTCTGTTTGTACTTAGAGCGAACCAGGTGCTGTTCGTTACAAGCAATTTGGTAGACTAGTGCTATATTATTAAATGCTGTGAAACCTACTACATAGTCAGACCGACTGTATAGTATCAGACGACAACTCAATCAGTAAAATCGAAGCGTTAATTATTTTGTCGGCAAATTAATATCTTTACAGTACATCATAATAATATTATAAAATAAATGTAATAAACCAAAAGGTGTATTTTTATTTTTTTCCCAGCGAAAATGACGTGTATGAAGACAGAAACCCTATATATTAAATGTTATAAACGAGCGTATTATTATTATTATTATGATGTACATTATACGTCGAAAAGTAAATCCAATTTTCAAATGTAAATTTATCATATCATCACATAACCAGGGCTCATGTGTAATCATCAGTCCTGCTAATGATGGCACAGTGAGTAAATGAATAATGAGTTTTATATCAAACAAATACGTATAACATTAACACAATAATCAATGATATTATTATGTACCAAAATGTCCGCCATAGTAACTAAAGTTTGAAACTATTTCAAAATAGGTACACCTCAATTAGAGTAAATTATACGACGTTTAAGCGTCGTTTGAATATCTCAAGTCACTTATAACTACATTGATGTTGGTCAATTGTGATACACAAAACCATAGAGTTTATTTCGTATGATATTACTATTTAATTAAAGTTCGTATCGATAGGCTACACCCCACTGCACGCCCAGTGCCACTTGCTGTTTTGCTAGCTGGTTAAGTTAGGATATACTATTATGATAAGAAGTCGAAACTTTCCATTTCAATATTTTACTAAAATACAAATATTTGTCTATT